GCATCTGAAAGGACAAATCCCACATTCAGAACTGCATGTGCTCAGTTAGCTCATTAATTTGATGTCCCTTTCTATTAATAGGGAGTATCTTTAATGCAGATTTTAAAAATGGAAAACCCACCCCGTCAGTTGCCTAATTGGGATGTGACAAGCCATGTTGCAAAGCTGAACTTGAGTTACTTGTTTTGCACTCTGAGCCTGTTGTGTTTGGTCATCGACTCCTTTGTGCTGCCATCAGAAAGCCACCCTACAGCCCTTTCCTATTGTTGGGGGTGATTTGCCACTCCCAGCAAAGCACTGAAGCACTGAGAAGCCTCACATACCATTCCCTGCATCTGTGTTGCAAAGTAAGTGGCTGACTTTGCCCTTACTAACACCTAAATGCAGTGTTGTTAGAGAGGAGCTGAACTGCACTGGTCACCTTCAGGTGATACCAGATCAGTTCTTTTATCTCCAAAGGCACCTCCATCTTCTCTTTTTATGGTTTTGGTGGTACACTAAGCTGTCAACGTTATTTTGTCAATTTTAATACATGAGCAGTTTTGTTACTTTAGTTTAAATACATACACTGCTTGTGAGATTGGAGTCTAAAACAGCTACAGGGAATAATTTGTTTTATGACTGTTAAATATGCAAAATTAATTTTTGTACATTTTTCTCCTGCTATATCTTGAATTTACCCTGGGTTTCATGATCTCTTTCTTAAATGTACAGCTAAGACACTTGTTTCTTTTGAGGGAATACCTCTTCTTAGCTGTTAAAGCTAACACATTGCTCAGACTAACTACTTTTTGACTTCAAAACCTTGGTATAATGCAAAAAGATTACTAAACCTTTGGGACCTCTTCAGAAGATGTGTGACTCTGGAGTGTACCACATGCCAACAAAGTAATTACTAAATAGTTGAAAAACTGTGATGTTACGCATTTTTTAAGTTTTATTTTCCCCAGCATCAATGGCAAGAAGTCTCCTCCTTTTAGGTTGTATTTCCTAAGTGGTGTGATTAAGAGCAAAAGGCTGTTTCTACTTAATCCCATTTTGAAACAGTGTATTTTGATTTGCTACAAAGTTTCATGTTTGTAACATTATTTGGTACTGGACGAACTCTTTTCACAAGAAGTCAGCAACACCAGCACTAGAAAAACCTTCCACAAATAATGGAGGGGACTTAGAGTTCCCATTAACCTGTGTTGTAGTATGGTTTTTCCCCTACTTGACAAATTTTGAACTTTCACGTGGAAAAAAGAAAGGTTTCTTCAGTTTTCAGGAGCAGCAGTCACAACGTAAACTGCTGAGTTTCCGCTGTAGCTGAACAGCTGATTTACCTGGATAAATCAGAAGTAGATAAAGCTGTGTCCAAAGGGGGGGAAAAAAAGGCATTTGGGATAATTCACCTCTGTTTGAAAAATATGAAAAGTGAACTAATTATAACTCTTTTCCACAACAGGTTACTGTAGTAAGGGATAAAAAAGATTTTCTAAACAGAATCTGTTTGACCTTAAGTTGGATAGTAACTAGATGTCCTTATCAGTTGGCATTTGTGACTGATTTAACTACTTGAATTTCAGCACTTGTTTTGAACAACTGCAGAATAGCAGCACATATCTGGTTAAACTTTTTATAGAATCAAACAAAGTTAAAACCAAGGTTACTTTCGTTTAATAGTAACCCATTTCATTTGTCATCAGGAGGAATGCTGTATTTTTTTTCAGTGCATGAGTCAGTAGTTCATCTATGTGAGGGTGAGTGAGTAATGAAACAGCAGCATCCTGGCTATTGGATATTACAATATTGAGATAAAGGCTTCCTTAGATAGATTTCTTATACTTTAGACTTACAGTGTGATCGAGTTATAGCTGGTTTAATATCATGCAGAACCTATTAAGGTTACCATCACAAATTTTATTAGTGCTGGTTATGATTATATAACAAACTCAGCATGTCAAGGACAGACTGGTAGCTTAATTTGAGATACAAAAATGAGATACAAAAGGAGTTTAAACCGGTTATATTCAATTTGAGATAGCAGAAGCTTGCTTCAGGTTAAAGGTCCTTAAATGCAATGAGGTATAAAATAATGCTTCATTATTTCCTTGTCATTCACAGCTGACAGCTGTTGATTTGGAAGGAGATATCAAAGGAATTTTGAGTTGAGTATTGTTGTGACTGAAAGGTAACAGTGTGACAAGTAGCAAATATTTCTCCCATTGCTCATCCCTCTAAGGCTGAGGTAGAGTGATTCACAAGATTTAACATCTGAACATAAAAGAATTCACCTTTTAGTGACTAACTCTGCTAGCTTAGGGTCAAATCATGCCATGTTCTATATGGTTGATCCAAGTAATAAAAGGATATGACTTCCCTTTGCCATGTGCCATCACTGCCAGGTCACAGGGATGGATCTCACTGGGGCACTGTGTCCTACTCCCCTTCCCAACACTCTGAGAGCTGCTGCTCCCCCAGACAGCATGAGGCAGAGAGGATGTTGATGACTCATTTTCCTTTCATTTTCATGACAAGCTGTTCCAGTGAAACAAATATGCTCTCTCTCCATCTAAACTTAATCACAGTTGAACTCTCCCAACAATTTGATGTCAATCTCTCTACAGTTTTGCAGGATCAACAGGGAAAAAACCCATGGAAATTCCTCACCCCAAGCATGGGACTTGATGATCTCAGAGGTCTTTTCCAACCTAGTTGACTCTGTGATTCTATGTTCTCCTAAAACTACAGCTTGTACCAGAGAAGATTCATGTTCAGGCTGGCCTCCAGCTACTTTTTCCTAATTTCCTTGCTCCTTCTAGCTCTTGGGTTCACAAATATGAAATTTAGAGGCCAACATGATAACCAGTATAGCCCAAATATTGCTGTGAGACTGTGAGATGAGATAAAGGATCTAGTTATAGAAGAATTTGCTCATTAACTTAATGTGGAATGTGAGCTTTAGATAATTAATGAATTAGAAAGGGAAGAAGAGGAAGAGAGGAAGTAGGAATGGGGTAATTTCTCAGAAATGCTTTATGGTGTTAACTGAGGAATTCAGAAATCCCCCACTTTCTCTGCTTTCCTTTGGAAAGTTCTTGAATCATCTCCAAAAAAATTTTACTGGGCTTCCACTGCTCCTGTTCCTGCTCCCTAAGCCAAGAACTAGCACATGGGAATTCAGGCAGGAACAAGTAGCTGCAGATCAGAAGGCTTGGGACTTCTACAGTAAGAGAGTAAATGTAACCTGTTCCTTGTGTGATCTTTTACTCAGAACTAATTTAACTTTTTCCTGGAAAAGCCAAATTTTCCTATTCTATGAAAATTGGGAGTCCTAGGAACCTAATTTTCATAAGTATGTAAAATAGCACGAATTTTTCAGAAGTTAAAACAAGCATTAGGAGCTCCCCTGCAGCTGAGGAACTCCCTGCAGCAACACCCTGATGTGAGCTGGATGCTGCAGGTGCTGGGTCTTCTCAAATTTGCACCTATTGTTTGCAGCAAAGGGGTCCTAGTACCAGAATTTACAACTGGATGTTTTGTTTCCTGTTATCCACAGTTCTGTTTAAACTTTTAGCTGCCACTTTTGCTACCTTTTTTTTTTTTTTAAACTTGGTTTGATTTTTTATCATCTCTGTCTAATAACTGGAGTGTGTCTACTGAATTTGGTAGTATACCAACCCTCAGACTCTTAAGAAACTGTTTCTGTCATGCTGTGGCTCATCAGTTTTTGGCTGCATGAGCAGAGCCCTGTTACCCTGTGATGCACAAGCCCATGGTTTAGGTGTGAGCACACACTGTCAGCTCAGCCCAACACTGTGGCAGTTAATGTTGGCATTTTGCAGCAAGGGGAGACAGATTGGTTCAACAACTCACAACAGCTGACAAATGATCAGGCCTGACAATGAAAAATCGAAGGTTTTAAATTAATTTGAATGTTTGGATGGAGTTTTTACGTAATTACTGCTCTTGTATGGCTATGGCATTTTAAAAATGGTACCAGGACTTTTGAGCCAGATTTAACTCACTTTTCATTGTGAGGGAAACACAGAACTATTGAACTGCATATGTCTTAAATAAAAGTTAATGACAACATAATATTAGATATATATTTTAAATGGAAGATTTTTCTAGGACATCCTTAATTTTTTACATATAGGGAACACAAATAATTAGAGCCACACTTAATTAATCTCTCTTCCCTTACAAATGCTGTTTACTGCAGCATAAAGTTTGTTTCAAAAGATATATAATGACACATGTAGTAGAAATTATTGTATGAGCTTTTTCGTTTGCAGTACCGATTCTCCAAGTTCGGAGATTGCATACCGGGACAAAAGAAGACAAGTTTCCTGCCCTGGGCAGTTCCTAATCTAAACTGGGAAGTGAGTTGATTGCAGTGGAAGGAATGCATCCACCTTTTTCCCTCCAAAACGAACTTTCCCACAGTTTCTCTCAGCCCGGTTACAGGGTTCGGGCACTGCCATGTGTAAGCGGGGCTGGTGAACGAATCTGAACTAATGCTGTTCCCTGCTCTGTAGCTCAAATTAGGAAAAACGCGGGTCATTTTCCGAAGGCAGCAGCCTGCGGGAATGCGCCCGGGCTGAGGTGACACCTCGATATCGGTAAGCGGAGCCCCGGTCCCTGCCCTCGGGGCAGCCGCGCAGCCCGATGCGAGGCCCATGTCTTTGCGGAGGTTGTGGGGTGTGGAGCCCCCACCTCTGAACCCGCGCGTTCCCAGCCCGGAGGGTTCCTGTCCCGGGAAGGTCCGTTTTTAACATCTCCGCCGTTACTTCACCAGCACGGCCGCTGCCCACCGGCAGCCACTGCCACCTTTCCGGGGCATCTCGGGGCTCCCCCGCCGTGCGGAGGGGCCGAGACACCCGCGCCCCTCCCGGCCGGGCAGCGCCGCCCCGGCCGCCCCCTCCTCCCCCGGGGGCGGTGCGCGCTGACGCGGCAGCGCCGCGGCTCCTCCACCGGCCGAGTCGCACAATTATGAGAAAGAGGCGCCGGGCCGAGACCGCCGCCAGCCCTGGGTCCCGGTGTGGAGCCGAACCAGCGCCGTCCTCCGCACCCCGCGCCTCCCTTCGCCCCCCGTGCGCCGTCCTCACCCGGCCGCTCCCCACCCAGCGCTCCGCTGCCGCCGAGCCCAGCCCCGATAGATGGAGACAGGCCCCGCCACCGCCGACGCCGAACCACGAGCAGGAGCTGCCCGGCGAGAGGAGAACCAGAGTCGGCGCCGAGACCCAGCCCGGCCCTGAGGAGAATGGTGAGGGTGTTCGGTGCCGCGGCGGCGGGGCCGGAGCGCCCGGCGGGGCGGGGGAAGGGACGGGGCGACCGGCTCAGACCTGTCCCAGCCGGCTGCCGCGGGTCCCGGCCGCCCCGAGCCGCCTCCCCGCACGGGGAGGAGGGAGCGGGGGCAGCCCCCGGGCTGTGCCCCCAGCCCGCGGGGGAGGCTCGGGCGCCGCGGGGCAGCCCCAACAACCGGGGGGCGCCCCGGCGTCCCCCGCTCATCGCTCCCCGCCCGCGGGCCCGGCCGGGAGCGACCCGACCCACAGCGCCGGGCGAGGCTCCCGCCGCCGCCCTCCCCGCCTGTGCCCCGGGACAGCCGCGGGGCCGCGGCCGCTCCCCCGGGCACCCTCCGCGCCCCGCGCAGCGCCGGGTCCCGCGGCCGGGGGACCGCAGTGCCGGGGAACGGCAGCGCCCGGTCAGTGCTCCGGCCGAGCGCTGCCCTGCCCGGCAGGACGGGGTGGTGTAACACCGCGGTTCACACGGTGCGCTCTGTGTTCTCTGGGCTGCAGCAGTTCTCCCCTTCTCATCTTTCCACCTAGTGAATGTGGGTTTTTTTTGGTTTCTGTGTTGTCATGTACAAGGGAGCATATAAACAGTTAGAAAGCGATGGGTGAGCATCTGTAAAGAAACACAATTTTAATTCCAGCTCTTTCTTCTGACTGCTGCTCAGTTCTTTATCCTTATAAGTTTATTCCTTAGTTGATATTTATAGAATCTAGAGTGATTCGTCACATCAAGTGCTTTCAAATAATTTTGAAAATCTAAGTGTGGATTTCTGTGGTCTGTTTGAACACCCGGTTAAGTGCTTTGTTTCATTTTAAATAAAGGTGTTTTATTTCACGGTATTTTGTTCCAGCCCACAAGGATTCAATGCCCGTCAGTTCTTCCATTTCTGAGTATATCTGTGAACTGTGTGGAAATGTGGGTTGTCTTTTTCTAGAATCTGCAAATCCAGCACTCCCCTAGGAAGAAGCTGAAAATGCAGCCTTCTGTTCTGACTTGAAAGAGTGCTTGGCATCTCCCACTTGTGTGGTACTTGCTCTTCTCAGCTGAAGTGATTTCGTGTTGGGTTTTTTTCTGTTTGTTTGTTTGTTTTTAGTTTTACAGAGTGGAGCTTTTTGTTTGGTTTCATTTTTTAGTTTAGCTCTGGAGGGTTTTTTGGTGCTGACATAGCCTGGAAATGTACAAATTGGTTTTAGCCATCATAGATTTGTAAACTCTAGGCTCAGCAGTTTTTCTGTCATTGTAACATTTTTGCAATGTTTTATATTTGCCGTGTATTTACTAAATATTTTGAAACCACTGTTTAACAGGTGTTTTGCCTGAGTTGAATATAGGACGTTTTATGGAAGTTCATTTTGTTAAAAACTTCCCTACTACTCCGTGACTATTTAGTAGCTTTGAATAATTGCTGGACAGTGTCCAACATTAAATCAGGAATTATTCTAAGGAGTGAAGTTGTTCAGTGTAGCAATTCTGGCTGTTCAGTCCTTTTTTTTAAATGTGTCTGTGTGGGTGAGATAAGTGTCTGCTAGATCATCCTTCATGCCTTCTGGTATGAGGCCATTCCTGACTTTGCTATTTCAAGTGTGTGGGGGGAACCTTTCTGCATGTGGAGCTGTTTAGGCTGGATTTGGACTGTTTGTACCTTAGTTTCCTGATGTTGTACTTTGATTTTTTTTTTTAATTTGCTTGCCATACAAAGGCACCTTGAAACATCACCTCGCATTTGACAGTTATCTCACGTTTAAGGATACTGTATCAGATCATCTACTGCCCCACATGGATTATCTTGGAAAGAGTTACTCCATTGTGTTTTAAACGTTCCTATCTTTTCTTATCCCTTGAGGCTCTGCCTAACTAGTCCTGCTGCATTACCATTTTGTCTTACCACATCAGTCCTGCTTTCTCTGCTCTGCTGGTGACAGATTACAGCATCCAAAGTCCTCTCTTTTCTCACAGTTGTCTTTGCCACATGCTGGGCTTCCTTTTCCTGGAAACTTTGGACCAACACCCTAACTTTTCATGCTTCTCCTTCATGTCACTTCATAAGATGCATTTCTATTAACCATTCAGTCCTTGTGGATGGTCATGATGGATGAATATTTTCTAAACAAAACAATATGATTTTGAACTTAAATAGCAATACTGACACACTAGAGTTTGGCCATATTGGTTTACAATTTGGTGTCAGTAAGGTTGCAAATAAATCTTTAAGAGGACTTGTCAGAAACTGTGTGTGAAGGGAGGTGCTTTTAAAGTCTAAATCAGTGTTCTCGATAAAATTTTGCATAGTAAGTTGATTTTCTTTTCCAGAAAACCCTGATTAGCCTAATTAGGAGTTTAATACATCACTATACTAGCAGTGACACTTCTACTAAACCTCTGGTGCTGCCAACATATTGTCTGAAATAACCCTAAATTTGAAGTTTTAGTTTTTAAAGACTTGAGAATGGATTTTTAAATGGTAGCTTATGCTTTGAAATACCAAGACAGTATGAAATTACTAAATTATACTTCTCATGCCAATATACTTAGCCTGAAAAATATATATTTGTCTTTTTTTAATTGATATTTATTTTTATTGGAATTCTCAATTTTCATTCAGCAGTGTCTACTTTGGCTGCAATATTTGTGTGCCACATTAATTTGCTGAAACAAGTAACATTAGTTCTGTTTCTTTGTCCCTCTTTTTTAAAGGCAAAAAGAGAATAAAAGTTTTGTCTTGAAGGTGATGCTTCTTGTTTCTGTGAATAATTCCATCTTAGTGCATTTTAGCTTCAGTGGCTGAAATTTCAACAGTTGACTTTTCATCTGATAAACTATTGAATAATCTCACTCTTGGAGTATATTTAGATAAGATAGTTATAAGATTATTCAGGAAATGTCACTTTTTACCTCTGATACTGGCAACTAGTTGTGGCCTCTGACAAATGAGTCTATGTGCTTCATTGGTTCTATAAAAAATTGTCCACTTGACCTGTGGTAAAACTCGAACATTTGTTGCACACTTTCTTTGTGTTCCCTGGCCTGAAACCCTTTTCCTTTGTTGTAGTCTCTGCAGACTTGTCATAATCCTTTATTTGACTTAATCCCATCACTTTTGCTCACATAATGAGAATGTAGAGGTGACGGTGTCATATTAATACATCATGATACAACCTGTACTGAAAATCCTAATCCCTGGTTTCTGTTATTTTTATTATGGCAAGCTTGGCTTTTCCTTTGCTTAAATTGTAGATGTTTTTGTATTTCAAGTAATAGGAAGCTAATCTAACAAAAGGAACAGAAAAAGTAAACCCCCAAAACCTTTGTATTGGCAAGCTTCACTTCCTGGGCTGGCTCAGCACGGGGTTAGCTTGGAACCCCTGCTGCTGTGCAGGAGGAGGGGTGGGACGTGCAGGAGGGGAGTGGGATGTGCAGGAGGGGGGGTGGGATGTGCAGGAGGCGAGGTGGGATGTGCAGGAGGGGGAGTGGGATATGCAGGTGGGGGAGTGGGATGTGCAGGAGGGGGGGTGGGATGTGCAGGAGGGGGGGTGGG